TATATATATATATATATAAGTAAATAAATGATTCTCTCGGTTCACCTCGGTAGTAACAAACGTTCTTACTTCCCTCGTGTCACACGAGAGGCGGTATCATGTGTCGATGAGCACCATGAAGAATGTAAGTATCGTCGCGGAATGTATGGATGATAATTTCGCGTCGCTCTTGTCCCATTCCCGATAAACGAAGGGTTAACTCGTGCGACTGTTCAGATAATTTACGAGCCATCGATCGACCACATCCGCGTTCTCTTTCACCCAGTGTATATTGAACTTGATTGTTTCCAGGCTTTGCTCCAATGCTCGCCGACCGTTCCCGACGTCCACGTTCTTGAAGAATTCCGAAACCTAAGGGGGCGCGACGTGAAACATTATTATATCGTTTAATGTCATACAATACAACGAACGTTACGTTCTCGACTCACCTCGTGGTAGTCGTATTCCGTGAAGAAGTCAGAGACCACGACGGATATGAGGCCGCCCATGGTCAGCGATCCGTTACCGAACAGTACGTGTATCTGAGGCCAATAAGCTTTCAAGTGACGCCACGCAAGGAACTGGCCCTCGGAATTGGTAGCGACGGACGCTATAACGGTCTCGACGTCCTGCGATCTCACCATATCACGGTCCAACGATCGCAGTAGATATCGTTGCAGCAGCCACGAGTCTGTCGTCGCTCCCAGCGCTTGCAACATCACTCGTTTCTCGCTCGGCACCTGAGTTTTCTGATAATTCCCCCAGCAATGGTTCCATTCGCTCTCACCGCCAAATTTGATCCCTGGTAAGCAAGGCGGACGTACGAATTCCAGTGCAGTGCGAATCTACACGTATAAACAAGGGAAATAAAGTGTATCACCTGCAACGTATACGACGTCTCGTATGTTCGGCGCAATTCGTTGGCCTCGCAACATCCAGTCTTCGAAGAGACCCTTCGCTGGCTTCACAACGTCGTCCAGTTTCACCGACACGGCTGACTGAAGCACTGCGATTCTTAACAACCTACGGGAAGGAATATATCTCAAGTCGTAGAAATCAGACGATTCAAGCAAACTTTACGATACGAGCTGTCTGTATTTACGAGAAATTATTTAAACCTTTTAAAGAATACACTGCTTTTACGTCTACGAAGTGTTTAACGAAATTTGGTCATTTTGGCCATTTTGGTTTCTAGCGTTAAGCCATCCGATTTACGACTAACGAGGTATTTTG